TTTGCCAGACCAATCCTCGAATACAGCTCGTCTGCCTGGAATCCACACGGTTTATCGGACATTAATACAATTGAGAGAGAGTCCAGAAGTATTTCACGAGAAGAATACTCCACTCCTCTGCTCATAATAGAATCCCTTACGCCACCAGGCTCGAAATTTTGGGCTTGGACAATCTGGAACTGCGCCGACGACGATCAGATCTAAGGACAGTATCCAAAATTGTCTGCTACAACGTCCTACCTGCCAACGACTACTTAAAGCTTTAACCGCAATAACACACGGGCAAACAATAGTTACAAACTCAAGGTTAGCTGCTCCAAACTCGATTGCAGACAATACGACTTCAGCCACAGAGTGGGTCAACGCCTGGAACGCTCTACCTGACTCCGTTGTTACTTCCTGAAACCCTCAAAACTTTCACAAACTGTCTGCTGTGGACCTCACCCCATTCCTAAGAGGTCCATAAAGGGGGGGGGGACACGGATAAGTGCCCCCGCGTGCCCACCGACCCTGTCCTACTGTCCGCATTGATTTTTATTCATTTCCTTTGTTCATGTCCCTGTTCATACTTCTACCTGCTATCTTGTATTAGTTTCACAAACTAATAAATAAATGAACAAACAAACAAATAATACAAAACAAATAGAAATAATTAAAAAGAAATAATTAAAAAGAAATAACGACAAATAACAACTAATAACATAACAAATAACTAACAATACGTAATAACAAATGATAATTAATAATTATAATTCATAATTAATACACAATAAACAAATAATAGATAATAGATATAAATAACTAATAAACAAACAAATAAACAAACAAACAAATAATACAAAACAAATAGAAATAATAAAACCAAACAACAAATAACATAATAACATAACTAATAACAAATAACTAACAATAAGTAATAACTAATAATTATAATTAATAATTAATACACAATAAACAATATACAAATAATAGATAATAGATATAAATAACTAATAAACAAACAAACAAATACACAAATAAATAATACAAAACAAATAGAAACAATACAACAAATAACAAATAATATAACAAATAACTAACAATAATAACAAATAACAAATAATTATAATTAATAATTAATACACAATAAAGAATAAATACACAATATACAATAAACAAATAATAGATAATAGATATAAATAACTAATAAACAAATAAATAAATAATACAAAACAAATAGAAATAATAAAAAATAACAAATAATAACATAACTAATAACAAATAACTAACAATAAGTAATAACAAATAACTAACAATAACAAATAATAACATAACAAATAACTAACAATTAATAAGTAATAAGTAATAACTAATAATTATAATTAATAATTAATACACAATAAAGAATAAATAATATACAATATACAATAAACAAACAATAGATATAAATAACTAATAAATAACTAATAAACACACAAACAAATAAAATATTGGTCAGGCAGGAGAGGTCAACTCAAAATGGCCTCCGCCACCAACCCTGGGCGCTGCCTTTTTTTCGTTTTCGTTCAGCCTGTGCTACCTCGCAGGGTTGTTGGAGGGGAGCTGACCAGAGGCGGGTTATTGATTAATCAAGGGATTTATATCCGGCCTTTATTATCGTTGTTTTTTAATAAATAACAAACATATCCAATAGTCTTTCGTGCTCCTATTTTCCCCACAACGACAATTCGGGGGTGGGGTGGGGGGCTGAGGTGAGAGAGGGACTGGCCCAAAGTCACTTCAGGCCCAAAGGAGAACTAGAATTCACTCTCTCCTGGTGATTGGCCTAGTCACCCAGCCATCTTTCATGCCTAAAGCAGAACTAGAATTCACTGTCGCCTGGTGATTGGCCTAGTCACCCGGCCATCTTTTATTCCTAAGGTGGAACTAGAATTCACTGTCTCCCAGTGATTGGCCTAGTCACCCGGCCATCTTTTGCGCCTAAGGTGGAACTAGAATTCACTGTCTCCCGGTGATTGGCCTAGTCACTCAGCCATCTTTCATGCCTAAAGCGGAACTAGAATTCACTGTCTCCTGGTGATTGGCCNGGGGGGGAAACGGCCCATTTTTTGCTCTCATTTGCCCTCCCCAGCCATCAGGAGCACTTTGCAAGCCTCCCAAACCCTCTTCACGTCCATTTTTGCAAAGGGGACTGGGTTTCGGGAGGCACAAAATGCTGTATTCAGTGTATAAGACGCACCCAAATTTTCACCCTCTTTTTTGAAGGAAAAAGGTGCGTCTTATACTCCGAAAAATTCAGTAATATACAGGAAGCTCTTGATTTACAACAGTTCATTTAGCAACCATCTGAAGCGACAAGGGCACTGAAAAAAAGGGACTTCTGACCATTTGTCACACAATCATTGCCCGAGAAGTCAGATTCATTTAACAACCGTGCTACTAAGTTAACAACTGCAGCGATTCACTTAACAACTGTGGCAAGAAAGGTTGTAAAACAGGCAAAGCTCACTTAAGGAAAGTCTCACTCGTCAACAGAAATTTTGGGACTCATTTATGGTCGTCAATCGAGGACTACCTCTGCATCCAACCATAATTAAATTGTTAAGATTCAGTTCCAGTTCTGCATTCATGACATGTGGTGGGAAATTAAGGGTGATGGGTGCATTACTTGGGGAAAGAAATATTCAACTACAATCACACTTTTTGTTGTTGTTCTCAGCCAGTCGGTAATTCTGACATAAGTGGAGCAAATGTGATCCTAAAGGCAAGGAAGAGAGAGAGAGAGAGAGGGAGGGAGGGAGGGAGGGGGGAAGGAGAGAGAGAGAGAGAGAGACAGAGAGAGAGACTCTTACTGTTGTGGCTTTCGTCTTCATCTTCCTCCTCCTCCTCCTCTTCTTCCTCCCTGTACAAAATGGGTCCCTCTGAATCCGAATCACTTGGTCCCTCGTCTTCATCCTGCACCGTCTGCAGGATCAGCCTGGGAATAACTGCAACCATTGGGTCTTCTCCAATGTACACATGGTGATTGGAAGCGCATGCATCTCCTGAGCCATCTTCCTCCTCCTCCTCTTCTTCATCGTCTGGACTAACAAGGGAAAGACACACAGTTATTCCCATTATTTAATAACAACTGCTATTGTTATGAATATAGGTATTAACAAACTTTGTTTTTATTTTATTCTGGCTCTATTTGCCTAAAATATACAGTTCTCTACCTTATCTGAATACATGACTCTTGAGGGTATGTGTTTGTTGGGGAATTCTCAAATTCCAGTCAAGTCTACTTCATCCATTCCCTTCACACCTCATTCAATTTGGGCAATAGGACAATTTCAAGGAAGGCAGGTATCTACTCTTCCTTTCCATCCAGTGCATCTACAGTGAAAAGCTTCCTCTCCTCTCCCTCTCCTCCTCTCCTTTCCCCATCCTTTCCTTTCATGAAATGTATTCACCTTTTGCACCCAATCTTGCACAGAACTGCACAAGCATATCAATTGACTATAGACACCGTGCTTGTCTGCCCTCCTAACGAAAATTAAAATGCAAAATGGGTCAATGTGATTATTTCACCATCTTTCACAGCTTAGATTGGTTTCTCAATTTGCAAAAGACCGGGATAAAATTAAATTTGCTAGTTTGTGGTTTAACCTACTCAGCCCTGGCCTTAGTACGTGATATGAATTGGTCATCCTGTTTAGTCATCATATATGGCTTCTTTGTTTAGCTACAGCATGTTATGTGAAGATAGCAAATGTGTGGGTTTTTTTATTTACCCAAGTTTAGGATTGGGTATATTGCATGACCCTGGCCAACAAATCAATCACTTGTAAATACTTTTAGGCATCCTTCTCTGCACTAGTGCTCTCCTGATATGTTGGATTACACCATTAATCATTTCCAGACAGTATAATTGATTTTAGGGTTAGTCACCTTAATCCCAGATTTTCACAAAGCATACTCAGTATCTCCACAAAGTGTGCTCAGGAGGTGTCGAAGAGAAGAAGTACTGGATAGATCTTAACTGAGAACACTTCTATACAGGTAGTCCTTGAGTTACAACAGTTCATTCAGTGACCGTTCGAACTTACAACCACACTGAAAAAAAGTGACTTATGACCATCTTCTTCACACTTATGATGGTTTTGCAACATCCCCACGATCACGTGATTTACCTTCGGATGCTTGACAAATGAGTCACATTTATGACATCCAGGAGTCATGTGGATCCCCTTTTGCCACCTTCTGACAAGCAAAATCTTATCAAACGAAAAACTGCCATGATTCACTTAACAAATATGGCGTAAAATGGGGCAAAACTCACAGAAGCAATTTCTCACTTGGCCATGTAAATGTCCGGCTCAATTGTAAGTTGAGGACTACCTATATGTGGTTTAAATCTGCACCTTATCACTATTTTAACAAAAAGAAAAGGAAACACCATGTTTTTCCATGTATAAGACACAACAATTTTCCTTAAAATATTTACTTGAAAATGGAGTGGCGTCTTATGCACAGGAGGCAGAGGAGAAGGCTGCACAGCTTCTATCTTATATGAAGCTCTATCATTCCTCTCTATTATAATTGTTTCCCGTATCACATTGCCACTCTGTCAGGGTTCCAAATAGTATCCAAAATTAAATCAGAGTCCAAGGCAAAGGATTCCTCAAAGTTCCAATTTATTAAGAGAGCCGTGTTGGCACATCTGGGAAAACACTAATCTGAAAGCTTCCTGGTTTTTCCCACCCAGTTGAAAGTTCAAGATCTTGCCCCCACACCCACAAGTCCATCACATGGTCAAATCTCCCACTGTCATGCTGGCAGTTCCACTCATCCAGTTCTGGTGAGGTGCAAAGACAAAGGATGATCTTGGCTTTCTAGAAAGAATTTTGTTATGGCTACATATCATCTAACTCTGTACAATCCCCCCCTCCCATTTTCCCACAATAGAAAAGGCATAGTAGAATAATAGAAAGTGTGGCAGGCCAAAGATCCAAAAGAAAAGACGGCTGCAGGCCTGACACACACTAGGTTTCATCTCTATTGTTCCTGTGATGCATTTCCTGCTCTTGTTGTATTACTTACTCTAATAAGATGGCTTTTGCACAGTGAGGCTTATAGTGCGCTTACTACAAGAAACTACATGAAACATGGGGGGTCTTATACATGGGGGTGTCTTATACACAGAAGAATATGGTATCACAAATTCCAAAAATGGGGAGCCACCTGACCACACCCAGCTTCCAACTAGCAAACCAAAGCATGACTCACACTTTCAGCAGCTCGATAGTCACAGGTAGAGACCTTGTCCTGCCTACTATTCCATTATCCTCGCTGGAGCCGTCGTTCTCAAAGAGCAACGAGTGAGCCCTGTGTGAGCCTTCGGCAGGCGGGGTCGCTGGCAAAGGGCTACTCAACGCCTGCTGGATGCGGATGTGCAACGGGACCTGGGACAACCGAGGAAGCCCTTGAGGTTCTCCATATCCCAGCTCGGCCACTCTCTTGGCTGGATCCATCGCAGAGAGACCTTCCTGTTGGCTGTCCATCCGTAGTTCTGTAGAAAAGGGAGCCTCTGCTCCGTAGAGGGAGGTGGGCAACGGAGCATTGGCGGGTTCTGATGGAATGTGAGAAGGCAAGGAAGATGAAGGGGCAGCAGGAGGGAGAGTTGAGATCATGTGTGGAGGTAGCGAGGACGGATAGGATGAGGACATGACCCTCTCGGTTGGGGATTTGGGAGCAACGGCCGATTCTAGCAGGGAAGATACATTCATCGGAAGGCCCCTCTTGGGAGGCAGAGGCGGTGAAGGCTTCAGCAACGAGGTGCCACTGTTAATCACCTGAGATAATTCAGCTGGAAAGAAAGAGAAAGCTGTTACATTGGCTGACCATGAAAATCTTTTCTCACAGGGTGGATCAGCTCTGCAAACACAGAACCTTTCTAAACCTTAGACACGTGTGAGAAGCTAATATGTTAAGTGTCTACAGACCATTCCAGTGGTGCAATTCAGCCGGTTCTATCCAGTTACTGATAGTGGGGACTGCAGGAGGCTCTGCCCACCTGCCCGGATGTCATCACACCCTGTTTTTGACGCTTCTGGGCATGTGCGGAAGTCACATTTGCGAACCAGTAGCGAAGGTAAGTTGATTTCACCCCTGGACCATTCCCAGAGGTGGGGCATAAACATTAGTTGTTCTTAAGTTGTTAAGTCACCAAGATTGTTAATAAAAATCCCTCCTAACAGCTCAGCTGCTGACTAATTTCTCTGTATACTTTCATCCTTTAACTCAGGGGCTCTCCAACCTTGGCAACTTTCTTGAAGACCTGTGGACTTCAACTCCCAGAATTCCCCCAGCCAGTATAGTATATAGCTGGCTGGGGAATTCTGAGAGTTGATGTCCACAATCTTAAATTTGCAAGATTGGACACTCCTGATTTAACTAGAGCTGCGTCACCCATACTGGATGTAATGTTTCATTATTTTGCCCTACATGAAGATTTCCAGTTTAGTCTGTTCTATTAACAGCACTGAATCATCTCGTGAGGCTTTTATTCCCCCCACCACACCCAAGACAAGACACAAATATTTGAAATATACCAAGAAAGGTATCAAGTTTGAAGCTGGCACAAGCCACAAATGCTGTGGAACAGACTTTGTGATGTTGTTCTTTTTTCAGCCCCAATTCCCCCAACCATACATTTAAAGGGACATTAAACCAGGTTTGAAAAGAGAGGGAAAGAACAATTTTAGGTGGTTCTTACACCTACACACTGAACTCTGGATTTCTGCCCAAGATTTCACAGGCTAGGTTTCTGACTTCACACAATGATCATCAACCACAACCTGTCCAAGCATGTTTAGGCGATTGAACCAGCTTCTTTCTTCCTTCGCTTTGTTGTCTTTGTACAAATTGTTACCAACTCTTTGAAAGTCTTACAAGTATCAGACAAGAAAGCAATTCTTATAAGTGTAAAAAAAAAATCACATCAGGCTTTTCTGGGAAAGGAAAATTCACTTTGGAAAATTTGTAAGACACATCTCTTTACCTGTCTTGCAAATCAATCTTGAATGTAACAAGAAAAACCAAAAGTGCACATATAGACTGGGTGAAACCAGGCTTAATAGCAGTAACTGTGAGAGGGATCTTGGAGTCTTGGTGGACAACCAATTAAATATGAGCCAACTCTGTGTGACAGCAGCCAAAAAAGCCAATGCAATCCTAAATTGCATTGACAGAGGGATACAATCAAGATCAAGGGAGGTACTAATACCACTCTACAAAGCCTTAGTAAGACCACACCTAGAGTACTGTATTCAGTTTTGGTCGCCACACTATAAAAAAGATGTTGAGACTCTAGAAAAAGTGCAGAGAAGAGCAACCAAGATGATTAGGGGACTGGAGGCTAAAACATACGATGAACAGTTGCAGGACTTGGCCATGGCTAGTCTAGTGAAGAGAAGGACCAGGGGAGACATGATAGCAGTCTTCGAATATTTGAGGGGCTGCCACAGAGAGGAAGGAGTCAAGCTGGACCTGCTACTTCAGATAACATCATTACTGGACGAGTGGGGGTACCTACAGTATATAGGAGGCTCTCTCCTTTCCTTAACCACCTTGGACTTTTTTGGACTCTCCCAGAACTATTCGCACTTTACATTAATCAACTTTTTGCGCAATTTATAATTTCTTTCTTTTCTTTCACCTTTTTCTTCTTCCTTTGTATGGGCTATGCATGAGGTATGCTTGATATGAATGAATGTCCCACTTTTATGATTATATTGTGGTAAATTTGTGTTTTTTAACTTTTTACGTGGGGACTGTCTGGGGGAGTGTATGAGTATGCGTGATTCGGAGGACCTGTCGGGAACTGCGGGGGCCACGGGGGTGGTTGAGGGGACCAGAGACACGGGAGAGGGTCGGGGTATTGCGGTCGTA